TGTTTTAACAAAATACTTGAGAGTGAGCAGTAAAGAATAGAGGTTTATGTGCCTCTCCATTCTATAGGTTAAGAAGTCTAAAATCCTAGTGCCAGGATCTGCTTAACATCTGGCAAGGACTTTTTCACTGAGCCATGGCATGGCAAATGGTATCACATGGCAAGACAGCATGCATGCCAGAAAGAGATCATTTTTATAACAAAGCCACTATTACAATTATCCATTAATGCATTAACATGCAGTTACTTCCCAAAAGTACTAGGGCACTGGGGACAAAATTTCCAATACATGAGCTTTTGGGGGATATATTTAAACCACAGCAGTTATGTATAATTATTTTAATACATTATTAGATTTCATTAGGTAATATTTTATTGAGAATTTTCCTTTCTTGTAATATCTTTGTTTAGTTTGAGTATAAGCGTAATGCTGCCCTCATAGAATGAGGTAGAATATGTTCCCTTTGCTTCTACAATAATCCCTCCTATCCCTTATAATACTGCTATCATTCATTTCATATATCCATAAGCTGTAATCACAGAATACATTTTTGCTATTGCTATTTTGAACAAAACTGTTATCTTACTAATTATAAATAAAACACTTTGTTTTACCTTCATTTATTCCTTCTCTAAGTCACTACCTTTCTGAATATAAATCCAAGTTTCTGACCTGTGCAAAGTTCCTTTTCTCTGAAGAACTTCTGTTACCACTGTCTTGGTTACTTTTCTGTCGTTGCTGAGACAAAATACCCGACACCCAAAGTTAAGGAAGGAAAGGTTTATTTAGCTCACAGTTTGTGGAGGCTTCAGCCCATAATCAGCTGGCTCCAAGGCAGGGTGGCATGGCACAAGGACAACCGTTCAAGGCAGCAGAAGACAGCAAAAGCAGCAAGAGCAAAGAGGCGGGAGACAAGCCTCTTTTCCTCCCTTACGTTGTAAGCAGGCTACCCACCCCTTAGGGCAGGTATAGCACTCACACAATCTCCATGCCCTTCTCTTGCACAGGCTCAGGATGAATACAAAATAAGCACCCTGGCTCCCTGCTGAGTCCTTTAGTTAAATTTCAAACCTTCTCAAGTTCACACAATGTATCAACCATTACAACCACTTCTAAGGCAGAGCTACTGGCTACAACAAATGCCTTCAATTTTTATTTGTCTGAAAGTTGTTCTTTTTCCATTTTTATGTTGTTGATTTTTTGGTACTGAAGACCAAACCCAGGGGCACTGCACCACTAAGCTATGTTCCCATCTCCTTTTTCATTTCAGACAGGATCTCACTAAATTTTCTAAGTGGGACTTGAACTTGTCATCCTCCTGCCTTAGCGTCCCAAAGTGCTGGGAGATTATAGGCATGTGCCACCACACCCAGATTCTACTTCATTTTTGAAAGATAATTTCATTGAATACAGAATTCTAGCTTTTGGGTGTATATCACTGATTTTTATCAGAACCCTAGGACTTGAATAGAAACAGGGGCATAGAGTGTTCCCTAATTTAGCAGACTAAAAATCAGGGGGCCAAAAAACCAATTTAAGGTCACTTTGTGGTTGAGTCAGGACGAGAATCTGGCTAGATCAGCTGCTTCTCTCCAGGACCCTGATTCTGTTACAAGACACCCTTGTCTTAATGTCAGATAAGCAGACTGCCTGCCTCTGTTGATCATAATGTGTCTTATCTCAGTTTCATGATCAGTGCAGTCCCAGCACTCCAAAGCTATCTGTCCTACTCTGATGCCTTTGTAGGCTTTTGCCTGTGAAAAACATTATGGCAACAAATAGGGAGAATTGGAATGATCTGGAAATGTAGCTTGTTACCATGGAAGCAGACATGTGCCAGCGGAAGTACACTGAGTAGGTAAGAATAACGTTCTGAAGAATATAGAGAATATAAATCAATATATCTAAAAGCTTATAAAACTCAGCAGGGGTTATTGTTTCTGCTCTGTGTCAAGATGCTTACCTCAAGTGTGGATGAGTTTAACTCCCCAGCGTTTTCTGTCTAGAAGCTGGGAAAAAAAACCAGTGGCCTCAAGTGAAATCAATGGTCATGACAAACACAGAATCAAGGCTTAGGGGTCCATGTTGAAAATCCTAAAAAATTTTTGCTGCGCTTGATGAGCTATGTTAGAGCAAGAAGGAGCCCACATATTGCTGAGCTTATGTACGCGTTAGCCCTCGGTGGGCGATGTGATACACTCTAATGGCAACATCATGTATACTTATGTGTCTTCTTCCCCTGCCCCAAGGGCTACGGCAAATGTTTACTAAGCAGAAGCTCTCTGAGAGCCCTCTATGACCCAAAATGAAGTGGAAAAAGAACTTGGAGCCTCTGTTTCACTAAGTACTCCTCCTGCCTTGACCATTTGGTGGGGAAAATGAAGAAAAATTTCTGTAACTCCTTACCTCCCATTGTGTACCAAAATCTATACCAGCTTAATTATAGACTTAAAAATAAAAATGAAATCATAAAAAACTAGAAAAATATAGATTCTTATATAATATTATATTAGGGAGGGCCTAACCAAGCGTGATATTAAAGGCAGTAACCATATAGAAAAGGATTATTCTATTTAATTACATATAAAGTTTTTTACAGTCTTTTATCCAACAGTACCATTTCTAATGATGCGTTCTAAAAAAATTGTTTGGACAGGTATATGAAAAGGTACACATGTAAAAACATTAACTATAACTGTTTATAATAATGAAAAATTAAGAACAACCTAAATGTCCATCAAAATGATTAAATAGATGTGGATACACTCATATTAAAAATGACAATGTCGAAATATAGTTCTTTTGTTTTTGAGACAGGGTCTCGCTATGCAATTCAGGCTGGCCTTGAGCTCCCTTTGTAGCCCAGGCTGCTCTCGAACTCGCAATGATCCTCCTGCCTCATCCTCCCAAGTGCTGGGATTACAGGTGTGAGAAATATAGTTCGTGACATAGAAAAGGGTTATTAAACATTTTGAATATGGTCCTATTTTATAAAAATAAATATGCATAGAAAATTTCTATACTGTGTATATGTGATATATATGTACTATATATGCATATCAATGTAAGGTTTATCTGGTATAAAAATAATAGAAATTGTAAAATTTTTGGAGAACTTCGCGTTCCCTTTTTTCACTTGTGCATTTAAGTCAAATGTCCTCCAGGCAGTTCTTTTTCCTCAACTAGCCAGTATAGTCCTTGAAGTCCCGTTCCTTAGTATCGTTCTATCCAACTGTAAGTTCTTGGAGGATGGTGCTGTGTTTCACTGTTGACTGGTACTTTCCCAGGGCGCAGTCAGTAAGGACTGGCTGATGAGCTGTGGTCTGATTTCCTCACACCCCACCTTGAAGTCTGATATAACCATGCTAACCCTTCACCAGCCGAAGTGGCCAAACCCTTGGCCAGGGTAACACACTTTGGCTGTCGGGGCAGGGTGGCTGTAGCAACTGTCATCTTGCTGCTCTCTTGGCACTGAAGTAGCCCACCGGCTGACTGAAGGGGCTGGACGCTTGCTCGTTCAAGGAGGAGGCCATTCTCAGGCTAACCCACCGCCTCTTGTATGTCTGTCTAGGTGTGCTTCCCTGCCAAACTGCCATGTGCATTCTCAAGAACTCGCAATGCTGTTGAAAAGCATAAAGAGTGGGTTACAAGAACGGAAGAGAAGGACTGGGGCAAGGGGCTGGCGTATAGTTCAGCAGAGAGTGCTTGCCTAGTATACATAAGGCCCTGGCTTCTATCCCCAGCACCCCCCCTCTCCCCCCTACAAAATACTAGGAAGGGAAGAAAAGAGAGAAAAGGACTATATGGGAATGGAGATTCATGCCCTTCAATGCAGAAGGTTGCTCACCTCAACTTGAAACACACAGTACCTACTATGGCACATGATACCTGATCCTGCGCACAGTACCTACTATCGCACCTAAACTGCTTTACCAGGAAGTCAGCACAGACATCAGATTGTTAAGGGGCTAGTGCCGTTCTGATGTCCAGGCTACAGATTCTACTGGCCCCTGATAGAAGCTGCTCTTGTAGGTAGAGATCATTCCAGGTTTTATAAACTATACAATAATATACAAATGTTTGGTGTTCTGTGTGTAAGCTCCTGAGGGCATTGACAGTGGTTTAATGTTGTACAAGATTGTCTTCGTGGGAGTTTGGAACAGATTTTAAATACCTGTATTTAGGAAATGTCAGATCCATCTGCAGAATGAAGAGAACTGAATCACTAGAAGGAAAAAAATAACGCCTGAGAGAGACCTAAACCGTGTGTCTAGGGAATAGTTGTCACCTAACTATATTAGAGATGCCTTGGGTTTTCTGAGTGCCCTCTATTGATTAAAATTTCTTTCCCAAAGAGCATTTCCCAAGAAAACGCTTGTGAGTTCACTGCTAATGAAACTGTTGACATTTTCTCAAAGCGTCCATTAAGTTATGGTACAGGACCGTGGGAGCGCATGTGGCCCCCCTGTGAGTGTATTATGCTCGTACTGTTTTCATAGATAACGAATTAAATTGTGATAAGGAAGTGACTAAGAAGCACACAGCTGCCGCTCTCCTCCTTCTGTGAAAACGACTCCTTTTCCTTTCCAGCTGCACCACAGGAGATTTCATATCAGATCTCTACCTGAATGCGTGACTCTTCAACCTCAGGACTCGCAGGGTAAATGGAATGCCGTCCTAAGGTTGTTGAGTTGTGCGTTTCTGGGCATTTCATCTCTGCAGAGAAGTACCGATTCCTTCCCCCAAGCCCTGACACTGAAAGATTCTTCTCTCTAGAAAAGAACCTTCCTTGTAATTCTTGTGGCCTCAGTAGTCAAGAAACAGCGTGGGGAAACTTGATAGCTGGAAGATACCTTACCAAAAACCTGACCCTTGGCTGCGAGGCACCCTTAAAGTTGTAGTATTTTGAGGGTTCCTCCTAGAGACTGTCTTAGAGAAGAAAGATTTTCTGTTAATTTTCAGTGATTTAATTTTCCATTTTCTTTCTTTTTTTCTAATAGGACCAGTCAAAAACAAGAAAAAGGGTAAGTCATGTCATTTCTAAAACTAAAAGACAAAGTTTAAAAAAAAACAAAACAAGGAAATAGGATTTTATATTAATTTCTTTCAACATTTTTGCCATTATTTTACTCGATCACATATGATCCGCTTGAGTACTGGAATTTCCAAAGAACAAGAAATGACTCTTTAGTGATGATCTGTGGAAAGTAGGATTGATTCTATATTAACATACAAAAATGTTTTTTTTCTTAGTCCCTCTTCTGTACAATTGAATTTCAATCTCTTTCCATCACTCTTCCTTACTCTTTCCCCTGCTTTTCTTTTCTGCTATTTTCCTCCCTCTTTATCAAATCAGTGATCAGGTATGAATGAAGACCAGAGACAGCTTATGAGAAAAAGGTATATTGTCTATGGAGAGATACCAGTACTTCATTTCTTGGCCTAAAGTTATCCTTATTCAATTTCCCAGGTACTCAGAGAAGGTATTTCTCACTGCAGTGTTACTCTGGTCCTTAGTCTTCTTAACGAAGCTGCTATTTGGGCAGCTCCACTGGGCTGTTCCTGAGTAATTCCCCCTGCCCCTGAGACGCGACCAACCAAGGCCTTGGATGGGTGCTCACTTACTTGAAGAGCAGAGAATCCAAAGCCAAAACAGCTTTCAAGGACAGAACTAGGCAACAGGCCTGCTCCTTAGAACCAAAAGAACCAATTGTGAAATCAGTTCATGTTCCTATTTATTTCTGGGTTCTGATCTGGGAGGAAACTAATGATTTTTCATTAAAATTATTTAAGTGAAATGATTCTGTCTGTTAAGATTTATGTTACTTTCTAGACTAGATTATCAACCCCAGACTAAACAAGAATGATTGGCTGGCTGCAGGTACAACTTGCCACTTCTCTGACCACTAGGGTATTCTGGTGCCTGTGAAACCCTGGTCCTTATGAAAAACTTGTGTCCCTATTGTAAAGAAGCTGAGAAGTGGCCTGTCCTCCTGAGGACCCAAGCTGAGTAAGGTTAGAAAATATCCAGAGAGCTGAAATCACTGAAGAAATCTTTCTGTGTGGGGCCTGGGCATGTACCACCAAGGTAGTCTGTTTTTTTAAGGAAGTAAATTTGATTTTCAAGCATTTAGTCTCTACTCTCGTCACATCCCTTTAAGACAGAAACTATAACTCAGATCATTACCCAGCACTGCTATCTTGTATATGGGATATTATTGGGGAAGGAATGCGCATAGCCTTAAATGTTCACTTTGGCTGATTTAGAAGCCATTTAAAGGGATTTTCTTGGACCCAATGAATAGGCACATGCCTGAAGAGGTAAATTGAGTTGTTCGCTTAATTTCACCCTTTAAAGGAATTGTCCTATTCCCACAACTAATCCTCTCTCTCTCCCTCTTCCTCTCCCTCTCCCTCTCCCTCTCTGTCTCTCTCTCTCCCTCTCTGTCTCTCTCTCTCCCTCTCTGTCTCTCTGTTTCTGTCTCTCACGCTCGCTCTCATTCTCTCTCTCAACATTGGAGGCTTAACTAAAAGGTCAAGGAAATGCCCCTTTGATGAAGTTAGCTTTGAAAACAACGTGTATATTCTTTCATCTAAGACGACACAGGGTAGCTTTCTAACTATAAATATCTCTGGGCTTTTGTATCACGAAGTGTTCTGTTAAACGAAGTTAGGAAATCTGCAGGAGGAAGTCAGTCCTTTGAAGTCATGCTTGGTGCAGAGGTCCGGTTGCACCCCCTCTCCTCTGGGCCTAACTTTCTCTGAGTATGAGAGACACCCCTGCCTGATTGCAGGGAAGCTGAAGAGGACCAACTGCAGAACTAGATCACAGCAGGAGCTGTTTCGCAAATGTCTTCTGACATGTTCATAAGTGAACATTCTGTCTACACTGCAACCATTATTCTCGTGGACTGGAGGAGTTTCTGCCTGTAATTCTTCCAAAATTACATTAAGCAATTACAGGCAATTCACATTCTTGAAGCTGAAGTTTGTGCTACCCACAGAACACCCTCCAGCTGGAAAATCTCTGGTAGGCTGGAAATTCTGGGGCTAGGGATGGCCTAATATGCACCATCCTCTGTGTCTACCCCACCCACAAAGTAAAGCGGAGAAGTAAACCTTTCAGCAAGGCTGGGAAAACTTCCTGGCAGAGAAGGGTAAGACAGTCCTCTTTATGGAACCTCAAGCTGAAGGAAACTTAGAGAAATTATCGGGCCAAGCTCCTCATTTCACAGATGGTAAAACAAAGGCTCAAGGAGAGGAAGGGATTTGCCCAAAGTGTGTCTGTGGCAGAGCTGGGGCCTACTTATATCCTTATCTCCTGAGTACAGATTCCTTGTTCTTTCCACTACACTAGCTAGAATTGAAACTTGGGCACTGAATAAGCCTAATTTGGAAGCTGCTTAAATCTGAAGGGAGATAGTTTTCCTGTTCAGCATCTTAAAATTGGCTAGATCTGGCAGCTGGGCAGATCCAATCTTTTGCTGCTAAGTGCAGGGAAAATGCTAAAGCTTGTGCCTGTAGGTCTTTGAGGCTAGGAACTCTCAATAGAAGAAATACTCTCTGGACCTTCCTCTTTTCCCCCCTAGGAAAGAGGCTCCACAAAGCAAATGCGGTTAGACATGGACAGTTGGCCTCTTGAGTGGCTTTACCGTGCGGATTTGGTTTCTTGGATATGAGACATTATTCTTTAAGAGGGACCTGATAAATCAGGCCAGGTTTCTTCTCCTGGCTGAGTCGGAGGAACAGAGAGTTGGAGTCAGTAAGCAAGTTTTAAAGTGAGACTATAGTGTTGTATTTAAAACTAAAACATTACCTGAGGGGCTGGGGATTTAGCTCAGCGGCAAAGCGCCTGCCTGGCAAGCGCAAGGTCGTGAGTTCAGTTCCCGGTACCGGAGAAAAACCAAAAAAAAAAACTAAAACATTACCTGAACTGAGAACGTTGTTACCGAGTCTTTTATAAGACTTCCATTCCGCTTGCTTCCACAAAATTGAGAGAGATGACGAAGGGAAAAAGAAGACAGAAACCTATGGGCACCTGCAGCCGCTGAATGGGGCTGCACAGAGCAGAGGAAATCAACAGGAGGAGCAGGAGGCTTGGGTTCAAGACCTAGTTGGAACTCACTTCGCGTGGCTACATCCTGGTGGGAACGTTGGAAGGACTGGGATATGAAGGAGGAGGGCTGAGACTGTTCTGGAAGGATAATGGAGAGGGAAGAGGAGGATCTGATGAGCATAATGCGTAGTAATTTCAAGAATAGGGCCTCTGAAAAAAGATTCTGGGAAGTTAGGTTATTTAGCCTATAAAAATGGAGGTTGATAGGTAACCTAATGTCTTTGAGTATATGAGTTATTATGTATATAATAGTAACTATTCTTTTCTATCTACCCAAACAGTAGAGTAAAAGTTTAAATGCCACAGGAGGGATTTTAGTTAAATATACCAAAGAATTTCCTAACTGTGAGCGGTGAGGAGCGATAAACATTGAACATGCTACCAAGGACATTTGCAGAATTTCCTTTCCCAGAGAGCTTTAAAAATAGAATTTAGAGAGGTCAGTTTAAGAAGCAAATCCTGCTGCCGCTTCCTCAGGACTCTTAACTATGCCTCCTCTTCTTTTCTGTTGCTTCTTAATATCTTCAATCTGTCCGTCTGTCTCTGTCTCTCCCTCTCCCACTCCCTTCCTCCTTCCTTCCCTCCCTTTCTCTATTTCCATCTCTCATTTCCAAAACTCCTTCTTCCCATTCCTCATTTCCGACTAGCCCTGACCCTAGCTTCACCCGCACCTCCTACATACCCTGACTCCTATAGGAACCTTCCTCAAGCTAAAAAGCTCAGGTTGTCCAGCTTCCCCTTGTTATCCACATCAGTCCCACCAAACTGGGCAGCTAACATGAAAGTCCCAACTCATCAACAATAGCTCAGTTCTGAAAAGAGCCATAAAGTGACCATATGTCTGACTGCTTGGTGTTCCTCCTCCTTTGGACTCAGCTGAAATATAACCTCCTTTGTGAAGTCTTCCCTGACCTCCTTAGCATTTGATCCCTGTACTAACGTAGTACTTCTACTGTCCTGTGACTGGGACTATTTCCGCATTAAAGTGGAGACCACTGAGGGCCATTTATTTCTATAACCTCAGATATGCCTGGGCGGGGGCGGCTTGAGGGGATGATATGTGATAAAAATGTCTGGCTCTGTAACAGGGATTCCCAGAAGGCTGACTGTGTCACTGGAAGTTTTAGAACTCCCAACAGTACTCCCCTGACAATATACTCTTGGCAAAGTGACTGCAAATGTAACGCTGATTCCTGTTTTTCAGGAAAGAAGGCAGGGCCACCTGGGCCCAATGGTCCTCCAGGGCCTCCAGGACCTCCAGGACCTCAGGGACCCCCAGGGATTCCAGGGATTCCTGGAATTCCAGGAACAACTGTTATGGGACCACCCGGTCCTCCTGGTCCCCCTGGTCCTCAAGGACCCCCTGGCCTCCAGGGACCTTCCGGTGAGTTTCCCCGTCTCTTTACCTACCTAGGAACTGTAAATATTTTTGCAGAGCAGGAGTGGCTGACCCTGGGAGCAGTTTCAAACAGTGGTGCTGGGGTTGGTGTGCAGTAACATACAGATCTCCTCATCCAGTGTAAAGCTAGGAGTGGGACAAGCCAATAGGCCCTGGCCTGCTCTAATTTGTTTGTACCACCTGTTCTTGCCCCATGTCACCACTTCCATCACAATCCCTCCCGTACTCTAAGCCTCCCTATTATGGACCGGTAGTAAACTCGTCAGAGCCAGAGCCAGAGCCAGAGGCCCTGGTGGCTCATTAGAGTTCCAATGGACAATGGATTTGGTCTGCTCTGATTCCCAGCATCTAGCTCTACATACTGATGTTTGCGTGGAAATACGCTATGAGGAGGAATGTTGGGGGCTGGACACAATGACAAGCCCTAGGATAGTTCTCATCCCAGGAACTCTGAAGTGCCTTTCTGATAGATGCAGACAAGTAGTCATTAATGGTTAAGTAGTCGGAAATTTATGAGCTGCTCAAGCTGTGGGTGCAGCAAACCCAAGGACCAAGGCTGTCCTGTCCCAGAACCAAGTGCCTCAGGAGCTAGATCACTGCCCCATCACACTGCCCATTTAAATAGCATTCATCCCTTTGCATCTTTCTTCAGGGACCAGAGGCCAGCCAAAAGGTAGAGCTGCAGATCCAAACCTGCCTAATTGGATTTAGTAGGAGTCAGAATGCCTGCACTTATGTCAGTTATTTCTTTCTCCTGCTCCCATCCTGTAGCATGGGGTTGTAAAGAAATGGGCACTTTATAGCTGATTTGACTAGGTCCAAAATTCAGCAGCAGGGCTCAGATTCTCTAACTTGCAATTCAAACAGGGCTAGGAGTGTTACCATGGCCACAAGAGACAGAGTTAGGGCTCCCTCCCCCCTTAATCCAATCACTCCACAAATATTAATCGAGCATTTTCTGTGCACAAAGAAATATATGGCTAAGTGATCCCTGTTCTCGTGGAGTGCGTCCTAGAGGAGAAGAGAGACAAAGAAACAAGATCTTCACAAATGACAATGAGCTCTCTGAACACAACAGAAAGGGAACAGAAGGCTGGAGAAGCAAGTGCCATTGGCACCTGCACCCTGGCGCGCCTTCTCTCTGCCCTCCCTCCCGGCGCTCAGTGGGGCTTGCTTGGGCTGATACTGGCAAATGACCAACTTCCCTCCCTGGTGCTGTTCCCCCAAAACGAAGGTCAGGGATAGCAAGGAGAAAGGAGGGGCATCCTTTGCCCTCCAAGGGTCCTGCCTTGCACTTGGATTCTCCCTCGGGCTCTAAGCCTTGGGGAAGAAAGCTTAGGTCAGACTAGCTGCAGGGAGCAAGGCTCAGTGCCCCCTGCTGCTGAGCCGAGGAGAAAGAGCGGCGGAAAGAGCATGCCCTCTGACCGGACGATCTTATTTTGCAGGTGCTGCTGATAAAGCTGGAAGTAGAGAAAACCAGGTTGGCTGGGGCTTGCTCGCTTCCTGGGGAGGAGGGGAGGCTGCAGGCCTAGAGATACCTTTAAGTCAGTTCCCAGTGAAATTTCCTGAGGCTTTATTTTGTGGGATGCCCTGGAGGTTCGAGGTTTTCATTCACAGCCCTGCCCTAAGCTATGAATAGGAAGGCTTTGCCCTAGGGCCTGCCTTTAGCTAAGGGAACCTAAAGTGGCCAGGACCATTTTTCTTCCTTCCACAAAGAGAGTGAGGGTCATCACATCCACGTTCAGTAGTCAGCGGAAACGAACTGCCAGTCAGGCCTGTTCACCTGGGCTGCCAACTCCCCAGCCACCCTGCTGGCACTCAGATGCCTGGGATCAGAGCTGAGAAGTTTAAGAATATGTCCTTGAAAAACAGCCAAGAAGCTCCAGGCCAAGCCCAGCCTGGGCTTCTCCCTTAATGGGCTGAAGGGCTCCTCCCTAGTCTTTGAGCTTCCTAATCTGTCTCTATTGGCAGGTTCTGCTGCCTGGCCTTGCCTTTTCTCATCACAGCCGCCGCACGACAGCTGTTTGGCCACAGTGATAAATCTACACAGCTGCGCAGTGCTTGATGGTTTTGTGGGGCAATTTTATATCCATCACCTCATTTGATCTTCAAACGTCCCTGTGAGACAGGCCAGACAGCAATTCTTATAATCCCTATTTTACAGTTGGGGAAATGAGGCTCAGAGGCAGTACATTTGGCTCCGGTCTCATAGCAAGGAAGTAGCAGATCTCCAAAATCGTATTACCCCCTCGTAGAAGTATAGTCACTGACAAAACAAGCCGGAGGAGAGGGATCAGGGTTGGGATGCAAAAGGAAGGACTAGAAACCAGGGGTAGAAACACGGAAACCTGTGGCCGAGCAAGCAGCCGTGACAGTGACTACTCTGTCCTTGTCCTCCCAGCCCGCCGTGGTGCATCTACAGGGCCAAGGGTCAGCAATTCAAGTCAAGAATGGTAAGAATCAAAGTGGGCTTCCCCTAAAAGGAGCTTCTCCCTTCCCTCATCCCCACCCTCCAAACAATCACTCAGTTTATTTCCTCCCAGGCCTCGGAGGTACCCTTAGCATAGGAGGCCATTCTCTACTCCATACTGCCCTCTGCTGGATATCCTGCGTAACTGCTAGCATCCCGATCGGTTGCTGTACCCAAATTGCATTTAGGAATCACTAGTGAGGGAGCCGAAAGGGACCTGAGACATCATTTACCTAAGTATTCTTGAGGGATGTAGGGTAGAACAGAGTCACCATGGAGATAATATGAAGTTTTATAAGCATTTGCACGATACAAATCGGAAAAGGCAACACTACGTAAAGTTAAATTCGTGTCTGATGGCTCTGCACAGAAAATGGATGGAGGGAGCACATCTCTCAGGGAAGTGGGGCATTCGATAATCTCCAGGATATACACATAGATTCTAGTATCTGTCAAAAGGGAGAATGTGTTTAACGAGGTGGAGAAGCGCTGATTTAGTATAATCCCTACATTTATAGGTGGGGAGGTAGAGCCCCTGAGAGATTGGATAATACCATAATAAATCATGCTGCCTTGTGTCTACGTGGTACTTTAGGGTTTCCAATGTGTTTTCTTTGTCTTCTATTTCTCACAACCACACTATGAGGTAGGTATCAGCTCCTATTTACAGAGATGGAAATTGAAGCCCAGAGAGGTTAATTAACTGGCCCAAGATTTCATAAGTTTAGGAGCTGAGATTCAAACTCGTACCGCTCTGACTCTTTGATTGTGCTAGGCTACTCTAATTTACACTCCCTTGAATGGTTAGGTTCATTTTATCCCCCAAAGAGACATGAACATTCATTAATGAACAGCACTTTGAAATAATGTCCAGTCCCTAGGCTGCCAAAGGTCTAAGATGCATGAACCCCCAGGAGCCTTAGAAAGCACAAACTAGTCAAGGTGCCAGATGCTTAGCGGGCTTACAGTGAAAGGGAAGGATTTTGAGTGAGGAAACAGTAATTGAGGGTTAAGATCCCCGTTACATGGGGACAGCTTCTATGGTAAAGAGCCCAGTCAATTCTCAACTGGCTTTGTTGAGCTTCGTTAATGACTGGACTTAACGGGGCCGGAGATATAGCTCAGCAGCATAGTGCCTGCCTGGCAAGTGGGAGGTTATGAGTTCGATTCCTAGTACCACCAAAAAAAAACATGATTGGACTTAACTGTACTCTAGACTACCACCTGGATGCCTGATTTAATAGCCTCAGAAGTATAAATAGGAACAGAATGGCACCAAAAGCCAAAGAGTCCTGCTGGGGACCAGTTGCATATGCCCCAGGACCCTAGGTGAATCATGATCACCGTCTGTCCAGGGAGGACTGGGACAGACAGGAAATAGATTTGTTTGGGTGTCTACCGTGCTGGTGGACTCAGTGTTTTTCTGTGCCAGCAGCTGCTGATCTCACTCTTACTCCAGCTACCATAGTAGCTACCCACTACCAAAGAGCAAGACTCTTTCTAGCACCTCTGTACTAGTCCACGCTGACCTTTTGTCCCACCAGAAATAGTGAGGAGGTCGGACGTAGGCCTCTTACACCTCAGAGACGCAGGCTTCCTGAACTGGACATAGATGTTAAGAACATACTCTCTTGGGTGAAGAATAAGGGGCAGAGAGAAAAGGCTCCACAGGGTTAGGCTTTCGTCTGTCGTGATGGGAAGCAACATCCCTCTTTCTGAAGGCTGGAAGGGGCAGTTTTCCTCCACCCTTACACACTAACATTCTGTGATTGGTGTAAAGCTAAAATACAGACGCTTTGCCAAGGGTACCTCAGCCCCTAGATACCCTTCCCTATCCTTCGGGCTGCTTGGACTGCAACCTGGCGGTCTATCCCCCACTCTCATAAAGATTCCCCTCACCTGCGGGGCCTTGTGACTGGCAGCCACCAGCTCCGGCCGCCATGCGGTCTGAATCACCCCTGATCCCCGAAGACCCTCCCGATACACAGTTCATTGGGCTGAGTGGTTTTCTGGGGGCCTTGGGAGGCTTTCCACAAAGGAGTGAGCATGGTGGAGCCATAGAAAGGAATCTCTCGCCGAAAAGAAAACTCATGAACCTGTAAGACAGGAGAGGGATTCAGGCCCTATGGCTGGGGAAGCAACACTGAATAATAAAAACTAGCCTGCCCCTCGGAGCCTGAATTTTGCCTGTGCAAGGCCCATAACAACAAAGAAAATAGGGCAGTGAGCCCTCTCTTCCTGGTGCCATCCTACCAAATTCCAGCTAGAACGTGTTGGTTAAAATGACCCTTCCGGATGGAAGGGGCAGGATCGCAGGGATAAACACAGACTAACAGACCCCAGGAGCCCTGAGGCAGCCCTCGCATCCACTTTACAAACAGCACAGCCACTCTGCTTCCAGATGCGCTTCTTGAAGCTTGGCCTTCTGGGCCTTCTCAATCACACGGGCCGGGGTGGAGAGTTGTGTACTGCTTGGTATTGTTGCTATTGCCCAGATTATTCTGACATGTACTGAGTGACTGCCCTTCTCTCATACTGAGATCTTTCAGGTGGAGTGCTCAATGACTGGTCTCGCATCACGATGAACCCCAAGGTGTTTAAGCTACATCCCCGCAGTGGGGAGCTGGAGGTACTGGTGGACGGCACCTACTTCATCTATAGTCAGGTAGAAGTGAGTACGGTCTCAGGCCTAACGCTTCTTATATCCAGAATGCAGATCCTGTGCAGGCCACATGGGTGCACTGTGGAGCCAGCCAAAGCCACGCAATGGCAAACTTCCTGCTTTGGCTGCTGAGGGGGTTGGGGGCACCGACTGGGAGCGAACTGAAAGTGGGGAGCTGTTTGTTTCTTTTCATTTGTTCCCCCTAGCCAAATATCATTCCAAAACTGTGAAAAGGGGCCCTTTCCATACCCTGCTAATTACCTGGTGCAGGGTCCCAGGCTCTCGTTTCCCTTTGGAACTGTTTATTTCTACTGCCAAACTTGAACTTGGTTTCAGCATAGTTTTTGAAAACCGGTTTCTGGGCTGCTGGGAATGCTTCCACAACGCTGCTAGCTTGGGCGTTAAAATGAATTGTACTCCTTCGGGCTTTCTCTCCACCTCAGAAAGATTTCTGACTGCCTTTCCTTCCTCTTTCTCCCATCTGTTTCTGCCTTTACGTTTCTGTTTTTACTGCCTCCTTCCTCCTGTCATTCTCCCAGGCCTTTCTCCCTTTGCCTTTGTCCTTTTCTGGCCCTGGGCCTACTCAGGTCTGCCAGTGTCCGCCCCCTTTCATCCCTCATTGTGTGCCTCCACTGGGGGTTTCCTCAGAGCTAGAGGCAGGTGAGCCTTGAGGCTGGGGCTCCTCTGGGGTGGACAGGGCAGAAGGACTGTGGAGCCAACAGATGAGTTTCACAGGAGAGTGGCCAGAGAAGGTGGCTTAGCCGTCGTTTGCTGCCACGCTGAGCACTCCAGCATAGCTTAGTCCTGACCCAGTATGGCACCTCAATATACACTGCTCCCACCGAAGGGTCCATGGAGGGAGTCACCTTTCTCATAAAGTGATTTAGAGTATCAGATAAAGGTCCCAACCCCTATGGGACATGTGGATATAACCCGCAGTGTCCTATGGACTAAGCTCTATTTGGTGGCAGAGAATCAAAGCTTGGGATGGTGTGTGATGCCTAAGGGTAATAAAAGATGGAAGAACTAAGTTGTTGGACATAAGAGAGACTCAGAAGTTGTGTCTGCAGGCTGGGAAGATCCTCATGACACCAAGCCATTGAGCAAAGGTTCTTGCTTCCTGCTGGCCACAGAGTAAAATCAGAGGACTGAGCTTTGCCCCTCCTATTTCGTTCGACATCCCCTGTGGTAGATAGTTGTCCATCGCGCGGCATCTGTTTCCTCAGTCATCAAATGAGGAGTCAGGGGTGCTGGGACTCAGGGAGGTGGGCTTGGCCGTGGCAAGGGGCTGCTGAAGCTGAGGGAGCTTCTCTTGAAGAGGGCAGAAGTCGCAAGTCACTGCCGGGGTCAGTGACTTCTAAGTTTAGTCACAGATAGGCTTTGGGGATTGAAGCTGGAAGTTAGTTCGTGTCTGAAACACGGGTCGAGCATCTGAGGGGTGCACACCACGTGCTTCATGCTGGGGTAGGGTGATGGGTGTGATGACAGGCAAACACACAATTTTTGTCCTCCCAGAGTTTGCCATGGGTATGCTATTGTAAGAAAGGTTTGCTTAACTATCCGAGCTCCGGGGACTATGGGAAGGACAGCCTATAAGCCTGTCACCCTGCTCCGACTGTTGGCCCTCTAGCATGCCTGCAAGCGGCACTGCCCTTCCCCAAGGTATAACTGGCAGCTCATCAGAGAAGGTTCTGTCTGATCACCCCAGGGGAGGGCCCCCGACCTCTCTTTCCTCTCTTCCCCAATCCCTTCTCGTTGCCTCTCACCCAGGTCTACTACATCAACTTCACTGACTTCGCCAGCTATGAGGTGGTGGTAGACGAGAAGCCCTTCCTGCAGTGCACCCGCAGCATCGAGACGGGCAAGACCAACTACAACACTTGCTATACTGCAGGCGTCTGCCTCCTCAAGGCCCGGCAGAAGATCGCCGTGAAGATGGTGCATGCTGACATCTCCATCAATATGAGCAAGCACACCACCTTCTTTGGGGCCATCAGGCTGGGCGAAGCCCCTGCATCCTAGATTCCCCCCATTTTGCCCTCGCCCATGCCCCTGCCCCAGGTTTGGGAGCCAGGACTCCCAGAACCTTTAAGTGCTGCTGTGTAGTGAGGTACATTGGCATTGCAGCCAGAGAGAAATGCACCAGTGCTATTTATTCCCAAGTGATTCCATGCTGACAAGGCCTACTTGACTTTCCAGAATGGCCTTAGTTAACAGAGAGTTAATGGAGCCCCCAGGGTTTACAGGAAGCACAACTTTCTTTGGCTCCACATTGACTGGCTTAAGGCATAACAATTCAACCCCGAGGTCCCTATTGTCCATTTTATCATTTGTTGCACTAACTTGAGGATCCAGAACAGCAGGCCAGAGAAAGTGAAGGTGCCCTCCAGACTCTGGGGGTGACCATCTGACCCCAAGGGGGCTGCAGCTTCTCCCTTGGCTAGGGCCGAGGATGGGGTGGCGTTAGGTTGCAGTCTAACGAGAGTACTAGGGAGGGAAAAGATAGACGATTGGGGCAGAGACTGGGGGAGAAAGCTGCCAAGCAGGCGTCCTTGACAGTGGAAGCACTCTTGTTCCTCTGTGCTGTGACCTCCAGGAGAATCGGAGAGCTCTTCCCACTCAGGCTGAGAGCCACACGGCGACGGCTATCTGGGCTCCGGAGTCAGGAGCTTTGCTCTCCCTTGGAATCATCGCAGGAATGGTCACAACCCTGCTTGCATAAGACCCTGAATCTGTGCTTGGGGCCTCATGTCTCTCACTTTGTTTACAGCTATGCTCTGTGCTCAGAAAACTCCCTGGGGCCCCCTCCCAACTGCCACCCCCCCAAGCCTGACTACAACTCCTCCCATCTTCTTTCTCCACAGAGCCTACCTCTGTCTGAGACAGGTGCTTAACCTGGGACCTGTGCTCACATGAGTCTGAAGTAGTCTTTAGCTTATCGGATACAAAGAGAATTTTCCATTTATTAAGCAAGTGTTATTCATCTGATTCCAATCGAGCTGTGTCTGGAGGGAAGGGGTTGGACCAGATGATCTTCAAAAATCCCTTCAAGGTCTAATAAGAGGCAGCTGCCATAATCTTTGAAATTCCCAAACCAGTGGTGACAAACCTATGGCATGTGGGCCACAGTGGGCTGTGCGTATCACTGAAAACTCTAAAAGCTATGCCATCACCACCTTAGACTGGTTGGGCAGCAGCAAAGCAGAGCTTTTCTCCCTTGCCTGAAAGGACAAGAGGTGGGAATCAGTGGGCAGATTTGTCTTAAGTTTGCTGCAGCCCTAGTGATCGTTAAGCCAGACTTTATCTGCGAGGACAGCAGCTGGTGGCCTTCTGACCAAGTTTCTTCAGAAAGCCACGGCAGAGCATCGTCACCGCAGAGACCTGTGCTGCTGCTCCCGGAGGCCAGGCTTAGGAGCAGCTGGAGGCTAGGCCCAGGCAGGGCTCTGCCCCTCTAGTTCAGTGCACACACAGCTTCCCTCACCCCCGAGCTTCCCACCTGGTCATGCACTAGGATCCTTCAAGTGTCTTACAAGCCAGCTTCCTATGCTAGGTCTGGCCCAAAGCTGGGATTGCCACCCTTGTACAGATAGCTGAATCTGCCAAGAACAATAGGCCCTTCTTTCTGAGCTGTACCGTCCCTTTCTAAGCAACCACACTGGTCTTTCAAGGATCAGGGCACAAGGCAGTGGGCCAGGCCTCCATTGTCTGGTGGCTAAGGACAGCCTTGCAGCCCAAGATGAAATACACTTTGGGCACAGCTCCTGTAAAGTGCCTTTGACCATCTGCAGCTGTAGCAGGAAATGACAAAACTGCGCCTTAAAGCTTGCAAAGTACTTTCTGTTATTTCCTTTGAGGAGGGCAGGACAGAGATAGCTGATGCCATCTGCTGGCATATCTGATGCCAGAGATGTGTGATGCTAAGCCGCGGCTCAGGGCACTCTCACCCAGTTTAAGTCACAAACGGGCTTCAGCCAGGTCTGATACCAAAGCGGTTCCCTTACACCACAGCACTGTGTGGCATGTGGGGTCAAGAGGGGGCTCATCAGGGTGCTATACAGAGCTAACATCCCGAGAGTCCCAGGCAGAAACCCAAAGATGCACATTTTTGGTATTTGATGGTAACAACTGTCTCAAGGCTGCCAGGGGCTCTGTGGCAAAAGCATCAGATGTTTCTCTTCAAACGGCCATCAGCCTTCGAGCTCTCGTGTTCAGAAGAAAGTTATTGGAACTGTGTCCGAGTAGCAGGCCTCTGACCGCCCCAGGACTGGCGGCCTGCATTTCTTTCACCTATCCAGTGAAGCAAGTAGCTATCGCTTGCGGGCAAGTTCCTTTCGTTCTCCTCCAGGCAGCTTCCAGGAGTCAGCTCACTTCTCGCCAGTACTAGGTATGAGTCCTTATCTCATTTTCCATCCCCCAGAGACCTTGTTACTACCAGGGCCTCTGGCGCCAGGGATGGAGAGAAGACGTGTAAGAGAGGACTGGTTCTAAAGCCCAATGGGTGTGAGGGGAGGGGACGAAAAGGCTTCCGAATTGTCCCCCGAAATGACGTTCTGACCCTCAGCCCTTTCTCCAGAATGGCGGGGGCTATGGGGGCAGTAGGGTTCCTGCTAGACCCCTCATTTATTTGGAGCCCTCCAAAGGAGCCCTAGAGGGAAAGGGATAGTGAAGGAAGCAACGGGTAGCCCGGGAACCCTGCTGAGGCAAAGGCGGGGGCAAAGCGGTGAAGTGGTTTGCTGATAGAGGACCGTGGACATCGATTTACAGTTTGCAATTACGCTGATGTAAGTTTACCAGTGGGCCAAGGCTAGCATGGAGAGTGGGACAAGGACATCTATGGGTAAACAGATGACAGAGGTTTAAGGGAGAATTGCATGCAGGGGCCTCTGCCAGCTGCTTGGGCTTCAACAGCCAAGCTGGCACAAAAGGCAGCTGTCGGAGGCTGCTGGGCTACTGGCTCCCTGGAAACTAGCGTTTGCTCTGTTTTCTCTTCATCTATCCTGACCCAAATTTCTTTTGCTTAAAGGAAAGGGCTTGGTGGTGAGCAGAGACTTTGGTCCACGTGTTTTGTGTCGTTTCCAGCGGACGCAAATGGAGTCAGAGAAATTTAGAGTAAAGAGGGCTCCTAGAGGGAGTATAACCCAACCTGCATTCCACCCTGGATTAATTAGGTAGAAACTGAGGTTCAGAGAGGGATGGTGGCCTGCTCAAGGCGGTGAGCACGCTGAGACCTCCAGACTCAGCAGACAGAAGGGGGGAGTAGGAAGTCCTTGTCCCGCATAGCCCCTTATTTCTTCCCTGCACAGACTCAAGGCTGGAAGTGTTTGGCCCCCTTCAGGAGCCTGGCCAGGCAGGGAGAGCAGCTGCAGCCTTTGTCAGAGCTCTGCTTCCTCCCAAGGCACTCACCTAGCTCTGCCTCAGGACAGGCCCGCTGCCAGGAAGTCCTTAGGCTACCCTAGTGCTCCCTCAGGTCCCCTGCTGACCCCAGGCCAAGCTAGCGTGAAGAAGGAACATGGTATTTCTTTTTAATCCATTTCAGGGCTCTCTCCAGGAGGGGTTGGGACGTGTCATACCTATTCAAAGAGCTTCCAGCTAGGATAGGGTGGGGTGAACTTTGTTGTGAGAATGGCCTGGAGCAGGCCCAATGCTGCTTTTGGGGGTCAGCATCCAGTGTGAGATACTGTGTATATAAACTATATATAATGTATATAAACTGGGATGTAAGTTTGCGTAAATTAATGGTTTATTCTTTGCAAATAAAGTGCCCCCCCATTCTTCAAATTAACTGGAACATTTCCTACATGTTAGATGCTTCTTTGCAAATGATGCCACACGTAAGCTAGGGCAAGGACCAAGGCACTCATTTCAGAGGGAGCACTAGAAGGGACGATAGTCTGCCAGGGATTGTGGTGTAAGCCTATAATCCCAGTACTCTGGGAAGCTGAGGCAGGAAGATCACAAGTTTGAGCCCAGCCTGGGCACTTAGTGACTTAGTGAGAACTCATCTCAAAAAAAGAAAAAAGGGTTGGGACATAGCTCAGTGCAAAAGGCCTTGTGTTCATTCTCCTGGGGTGTGTGTGGGGAGTCTGAATTTCCAGTCAGAACGTCCTACATCCTTTCTGTGCCCCGGACTACATGCCCCATCCCTGTCACCTTTGCTCTTCTCCTGGAACCATATGTCTGGGAAGCTAGATGGCCTGCCAGAAGGAATATTGTCCAGGAGCAGAGACATGCCACGTGGACTTACAACTTGAGATTGTGCCATCTATAACAAATATTTCAGGCCTGGCACCAGAACAGCTTGGGGGAATCCAGAATTCAGCTCCTCACGAAAGTATCATCTCAATTTGCAAATGAAGAGAGCCATGCTCGCGAGATTTTAAGTAGCTTGCCCCGGGCTGTCCAACTAGGGGCAGCCTGATCTGGCTCCCAGTACTGTACACTTTCCATTCTACTGAGCTGCCTCTACCGCTTGGCCCCACGCTCCAGTGTGTGAAGCCCTGTGGAGCTTCTACTAAGGAAGGGGGTCATGAGAAGATAATCAGAGAGCAGCTCAGAGACAGCTTCAGCGGGCACTTCTCCCAACCCCGGCAGCCTTTGTCCCTGTTGTACAGGTGGAGAATGTGACACTTTAGCAGCGTGCACACTGCAGCCTAGGACAAATCCGCAGTGGCTAGGTATGAATGCACTGGGTGTTGGAACCCAGGCTGGTCCTCCAGCTGCCTTCGAGAGAAGCTTTTTGAAAGGAAACCAGTCATAAGAATGCTGGAGACTGTCTAAAAACACCTTGGGGTATAGCTCACATCCTCAGCATGCACAAGGCCCTGGGTTCCAAAACCCCCAGCACCAGAAAACAAAACCACTTTATGGGTACTCTGGGAAAATGTAGTCTCTGGCTCAAGAAGCAACAGAAAAAGGAGTCGAGGTCATACTGTGTCTGGCTCCTACGAGGCAGGCACCCAGGGCAGAGGCAGCATGTCATGTGGTGGTAAGTGTGCCGTGCTGGCTAAACCAAACTGATGGTACACCACTGGACCGAGTGGCAGCTACCCAAGAGGGATGGAACAAGGGGCCCTTGGTCCAAATTGTTTAACTTGTCATTACAACAACCATTGGGCTGAGAGTCTGAGAGACTCAGCAGTCAGACAGAGTTCTGGGTGCGAAGTCGCTCATCTGATTCTCAGGGGGCGGAGATAAGGCCGGGAAGCACAATCCTTCGTGGAAAGAAGACCAGGAAGCAAGGCCTGAGCCTGCCCCGGCTCTTAGCCTTAGGAGGGAGAAACCTGAGAGTGGATTAAGGGCTGGCAAGGGGGTTTGATGACTTAAACTTTCAACACAAGGTTCTACACTGTAAAATTCCTTTTAAAAACTGAAATGCCAGGCACTCCTGGGCGTTGTTTACTCGGGGACAGGAAATGAGTGAAATGGTCAGAAGAGAATTTTGTGTAGCTCCCTGGTTTATAAAATTTAGTCACATCCAGTATCATTTGACCTTTGAGGTAAGCAGAAGGGGGATTCTTAGTCCCCCTTTTATAGATGAGGAAACTGAGGCTCACAAGTGACTGACTACCCTCAAAGTCACGTGACTTGAAGGTGCTGGAACCTGAACTCAGCCCACTAGTTCCTGAGGCATCTGATCCGACAAAGAGTCTCCTAGCTAGAAGATGGAGATGTTTGAGAGCTAGAGAAAGGAAGACGTGTGGGAACACTCAGCCCCCCAAACAGACTAGTTGGGGTACACTCGGTATCAGAAGATGGGTGTTTTATTCTGTCCACTGGTTTCCTCAATTCTGGTTGCTCCCGTGAGGGAGCCTTCAGGGGACTTCTTCCTGAGGGCCTCTTGGAATCATCTCACCAAGGAAATGACAAAGAGCTAAGGGAAAGACAGAAGTGGAAAAAATGGGTACAAAACCAACCAGATGGGCAGCCTCTCCCCATGACGAGGACTGGTCATATTAGGAGTGGGAGCCCAAACAGAATTTGTCCTCCTGTGTCCACCAGCTCCTCACCTTCCAGCAAGGTTGTGAGGCTGCTGCGGGCGTGTGTCAAAGTATCTCCAGCTCCTGAGTCTCTGAGATACCAAACTTGGTCTTATGCTCATCAAACAATTTACGCAGGGCGTCAACGTAGAGTGCGTGGTATTTAGCCACATCCTCCTGGCTTGGGTTCTGAATCTTGGGCAGTGGTAGAGGCTCCCCAACTGCCAGGGAAGACAGAGAAGGAAAAAGGAAAACCGTCAGAGTAGCTCACTGCTCTGAATGGGCTCTGGGCCTCAAGCCCACCCTCACCCCCAACCCGCCTCTCATGCCTCTGAGCACAGCCAGAGTTAAGGGTGAGCCTCTGAACAGGATCCTGGATCCCAGACCAAGACTGCCCACAGAAGGACCCACTCACCAACGGTGGTTAAAGACTGAGCGTAGGGCAGAAAGCCCCAGGAGTTCTTGGTGAAGCCACGCCCGTAGAAAGCACAAGGGTAGATGTGTACTAGACTCTGGAACCACTTCTGGAAGCAGTGGACAAAGCCCCCACGAGCAAAAATGTGCTGATTGTAGAGTTCTGTCTCCCCAAAGGCATAGGCAGGGATTAGAGCCACCCTGCAGAGGAAAAGCATGTCCTTTGACGCCCGGAAAGACAAGGACCCTGCTGAGTGGCAGACATGTTAACCACCAGTGGGCTCTGGGTCCGCCCAGAGGCTACCCAGCCCCCAGCCCAGCTGTGCCTAGGTCCAGGCTAGGGGGATGTCTGTGGCCTAGGCCAGGCTGCCTGTTGGGACAAATCAGTGGCAGCCTGAAGGAAGCAAGCCGAGGCACTCCCGGGAACCCCGGGCGGGAATCACTGTATGGTAAGACCCAAGGGCCACGTCACCTGACTTCCTTCCCTTTACCCCACATGCTTCACTTGGCTGCCTCTGAGCTAGGGTGGTGGCCAGTCCCCTTGTAGAGAGGAACTGGCCCAGACCCGAGGCAGAGGACACTGAGGGTTGACCTTCAATGCTTACTTCATGAGCAGAAATGCCTCTAAGACTTGGCCCTGCTTCTGCTCCAAGCCACAGGTGGCTTTCTTCCAGCTCTTTTATTTATTTTAAATTGACAAATAACAGTTGTATGTGTTTATGATGGATATAGTTCATAATAATGGATCATATACTTCGTCCTCCTCCGTTAGATCCTATTTCTTCAAAAGTTCTTCATTCACCACTGGGCTGTTGGATCCTCCACCACCCTTCCTTTCGACCAGAGTTGTCCTTACCCATGGCGAAGGGCCATGCGCACAAAGCCCAGTCGATTTTTCAAGACCAGGGTGAAAGACCCTGGCAGGCTGTATCTGCACTCGGCCAGGCCACCAACCACCACAATGAGCATGTTTCCTTTGCCCTTCTGGGTAAGCAGAAAGTCCATGGAGGATCGGCTCACGGAGCAGACACCTGGGAGGCAGAAAAAGCCAAGAGGTCATCGGCCACTTCCCAAGCACCCTAACTTTCCTCCCTTCATCTTTCCCTCTGCAAAGGAGGGGGAAAGCAGGGAGCCCCCTGTCAGGGAGGTGAGCAAGGGCAGCCAGAAGGGATCAGAGTTGGCCTTGCTCTCACCCGTCCCCGCAACTTCGAGCCAACTCACCTGTCGACATGATATAGTCTCTCAAGAAAGGCACCCAGAAAAAGGCTCCTATTGTGAGCGTATAGGAGGTGATGCCAGGGAAGATCTTGGAGAAGCCTGTACCTTCAGTGGCAAAATTGCCAAACCAGGTATGAGACATGAGCCCGTGAGGGTGGCAAACGAGGATGTAGTTGTGGCTGGGGGAAATATCACGAGTCTTCAAAAGCTGTAGAGGAAAGTGGAGTCAGGAGGTGCTACAGCCAGGGAAGTGACCTCCTCTTTAGGTGAGAGATCTGGAAGGGAAAGGGCTACTGGGTCCCACCAGCCAGGTTGGGCACTGTCCAACCCCTGGGAGAGGGTCACTCACAGGCCTCCGTAACCCAGCTGCCGGCACCAGAATCGGGGCTGACCTGGTATCCAGCTGGGGCTCAGAGCTACTCACCTTGATAGGGAAATAATTGCAGTAGTGTCTCCACAAGCTCCACCGCCTCACACAGTTGAATCGGCGGCCGCCTGTAAGCAGCACAATGCAACCGAGCCGTGTTCAGCCCCACTGTCCTCTGCCAGGCCTTCTGGGCCTGCCACGGGGACCTCTCACCCCTTGCTCTTTCCTGACCTCTTAAGGAACAAGCAGGTTGGGCATGTCCAGGCCAATTACAACGGGCTAAGCTTCTGCTTCATTCACTGCCCCTCCCCTCGCCCACTCCAGTCCAGATTGGGTGGCCTTTCCAACACCTCAAAAGGAGCATTTCCCTCGGCTTCTCTAGCCCAGGGAGGGATAGGCTGAAGGGCTGCCTGGGAATTGGCCAGAGCCTTTCAGAATCAAAAAGAGAGAAAAGGGAAGGGTGGCATGTGGCAACCCAGCCCAGTAGGGCCCTTACCTCGCTCAGGGGTCTTCCAGTCAAAAGCCAGCCAGATGAGAATGAACACAGTGATAAGCCAGTATGATGTAAACGCCAGTAGGTAGACGTTGACAAGGATCACCACGATTACTGGAGGGAACCCAGCCCAGAGTGAATGGATTGTGAACAGCCCCTCACACTGACCCTCTCTCCCGAGTTCTGCCATCCAGTGGTCACACGTGCTCACCCAAGACGGCTCACTGCTTGCTCTTCCTCATCCTGGCACACGGTTCACATGCCCACATCCCAGCCTCCCTCTCCTCTCTGGCCTTGGGACCCTGACTCGAGTCTAGCAGGCAAGGGCTTTTCCTCCCCAGCCGTGCTTCTCCAGAGCCCTCTGCACTCAGGACCTACCCTAGCAACTTGCTAAGCTCTGAATGAATGCTGGCTGCTTAATGGCACGGAGCCCCTGGTGGCCACCCGAGTTCGAGAGAGTCCTCAGACAGCTTTCTTCCAACTCATGTTCTCCTCTCCGCATCTCCTCTGAAGATCAGTGAAGGAGATACAGGAGACAGCAAAGGCCCACCTGCACTGAGGTTGGGGGTGCAAAGAAGGCAAGCAAAACACAAAGGAAAATACAAGCTGAACTAGAATAAGGTCCTGGGCCGTATTAGGTTCCAATGAAATGAGAATGCTACAGATTAGAGTATTAGGAAAGAGTTACTAGAGATGAGTCATGGAGGCTAAAGTTCACTTGGAATTATTACTGGACTCCATTTTTAAAGCAGGTGTGAATAAGAGTGTGTGGAAAATTGAGTCAAAATAAAGGTTAGAAAAGACAAAAAAGAACTTCTAACTGAACATAGCAGATTGATCACAAGTTTTTGTCTTGACTTCTTGCTAGAGCCCCATGAAAACTATTACTAACAAATGTTCTTCAAAATACAGATCTGTCATAAGGTGTGGTGTACATGCCTGTAATCCCACACTCGGGAGGTTGAAGCAGGAGGATCACCATAAATTCACCATAAATCCCCAGCACCAGCCTGAACTACATAGTGACCCTGTCTCAAAAACAAAAATGAAAACAGAAACAAAATAAAAATACAGATCCATAAGGGAAAGGAGAAGAAGGTGCCATCAGTGGCTGTGAGATAGCAAAATATTTACATGTTCTAAAGAGAAGAAGTAACTGATTTACAATAAGAAAAGCTGAAATCTAGTTGCTAGTAAGGATACCTGCCTATAAGAAGCATGCCTGCTTCCACTGGAAAATCAAGAAAAGACTTGGAATGTGCAGAGAGCAGGTGTCACAAAAGGCAGGGACAAGGCACAGGCCCAAAAGGCAGAGGGTTACTTAAATTTCTGCCAAGAAATTAGAAACCCAGGTTCCCTCTCCTCCCTTAAACAACTGGGCAGTGGGATGATTATTCTCTGAAATAACTGAACCAGGGGCTGGGGATTTAGCTCAGCGGCAAAGCGCCTGACTGAAATAACTGAACCAAAGAGATTCTAGATTCAAATACTGATGGTCTTTAACTTATGATAGTTTTGCCTATGGTGTTTCAACTTTATGATGGTGCAAAAGTGATACGAATTCAATGGAAATCACACTTCAGATTTTGTATTTGGCTCTTTTCCTGGGCTAGCAAAATGCAGTACCATTGTCTCTCACATGCTAGGCAGGAGAAATGAGCAATTTCTATCCTGAGGTTAAACAACTAACACTCTGCAGTATACTGTAGTGCTAAACTGTGATGTTGTGTAGGTTAGATGTATTAAATACATTTTTGATTTATGATATTTTTGACATATGGTGGGGTTATCAAGACATGACCCCATCACAACATGAGAAGCTTTGCAGACACGGCTAAAATATTGGGTAAGAAGTCAAATTTTAATCAAGTATAAAAGTAGAATACAATCTCAGATACACACAGTCTCTGATAATTGGTCTCCCATCTCCCTTTCTCCGAAAACTACCAGAGAATGTGTTTCACCAAAATGAGGTGATCAATTTGATGCAGTCATGCATACCTTTAATCCCAGCACTTGGGGAGGCCGAGGCAGGAGGTTCACAAATTTAAGCCCAAGCTGAGCATCTGTCTCAAAATAAAAAACTAAAAGGGACTGGGGATGTAGCTGAGTGGGAAGGCCCTGTGTTCAATCCCCAGCACTACAAAAGCAAACACTTGATCTTAGCCAAAAGGCCAAGAAGTGATCACAAAAACAAACAAATGAATAAATAAGGCATAAACCAAGAAAAAGGAAGGCATAGGGTACAGGAAAAAGAGGAACCAATGAAGGAGGAAACTGAGCAAGAGCAAGGCTGGGAAGAAGTAAACAAGGCTCCCAGGACAAAAGAATTTAAGGCAACACTCACTCTCGGGGATGAGCAAGTACCAGCTGGACACTTGCGTATCTCTGAGTGGAAGCACCTTTTACAATTCTGCTCCAAGTTTTCTTAAGTGCCTTGGAAGTGACAGATTTGCATGAAGCCAGACTGTATCAGGAAGGTGCTGAGTTTCAGCTGTGATACCCTCACAGAAATAAGAGTAAGGGGACTTACAGATTTCCGATGTGTTTGAACACTTGGAGAGATTAATTTGTCTGTGAAGAGTCTGGGATAAATTAGTGATAACGGATATCTAATAATAGTGAAAGAAACTTAAAACCAGTCAATTACTAACAACAGGAAAAATATTTCACACAATAATGGAAATTTAGTCCTGGTGCACTAAATAGCTCAGCTGTGAATAATATTTCCTCGTCATAGTCAGGCATTTAACTAAAATCTGTCCTATAACAAATTTGGAAGGAGAAGGAAGAGGAAGTTATGTCAGTATTGTGCAAAGCCAGCTTTTCATCTTCTGTACAGAAAGCCAATGGACAATATCTAAAACTGCTGCATCAGAAAATAGTAATATTGGTCTGGGGATATAGCTCAGCGGCACAAGTGCCTGCCTGGCAAGCGCAAGGTCCTGAGTTCGATTCCCGGTACCAAAAAAAGAAAGAAAATAGTAGTACTTAGAAATTTCAAATAGGAAACTCTAGGAATACGGAAGTCAATATCAGACAAAAAGAACTAACAAAATTCAAAATGACTGACTGCCTCTGGGAAAAATAACTAAGGGCAGAGCAAGGGCAAGCAGTTACAGGCTTTTGATAAAACTGTTGACTGAGGATTAAAGAAAGGCACTAATCTAGTCCACAGGGCACCTCCCACTTTCCCTCAGACTTTGCTCAAACCTAGGGTGAGGCTATCTTATGAGTGGGTCCTCCTAGATGGCGCACCCTGCCACCGGATGAGTCCTGCATCTGCACCTTATTGTGTGCGATCAAAGACATCGCTAACCTTAAGTTCATCATCTGTAAAATGAGAATTAAAATACCAATATCTGGCCTATCTTCTTTACAGACTTAATCTGATGGCATTCCCTCAAGGCCATTACTGTCCAGATAAATACAATTCCACTTCTAGATCAGACAGCTGGGCAGGGGCAAAGGGTCATTTGCACCACCTGCCCAACATGAGCTGGGAAGGGAGAGGACAGTCCTGGAACCCACGTCTGCCACCAGGGCCTAGAGCTTTTCTTCTTGCCCCATATTCCCTCTGAGTACACCCCAGAGCCAGGCCCTAATTAAGACTCTCCCCTAAAAAAAAGAAGACAGTTGACGTGGTGATGCATGCCTGTAATCCCAGCACTCAGGAGGCTGAGGCAGGAGGATTACCACAAGTTCAAGGCCAGCCAGGGCCACATAAGCAAGCTAGCCTGAACTGCACAGCGAGTCTCTGTCTCAAAAAAAAAAAAACAATCCTGTGGGCCAAGCACGGTAGTAGTGCTAAGGCAGGAAGATCACGTTTGCGCTTAGCCTGGGCAACTTACCAAGATTCTGCCTCAAAATAAAAAATAGCTGGGGATGTCGCTCAGAACAAAGGCCCTGATTTGATCCCCAGAAACAAACAAACAGTGGTCCTCTGGTGCAGTTTTTCTTCTGTACTCCTGCCCCTTTCAGCCTCTCTCCTTCTTAACATTCTCTGCTCCCATCCCCACCAGTTCACCCTGAGACCAGGGGCCGGGGACTTAGCTCAGCGGCACAGTGTCTGCCTGGCAAGTGCAAGGTCGAGAGTTTGATGCCCGGTACCGAAAGAAAAAAAAGCCTGAACACCCTGAGACCAGAACCTTCAGTCTTTGTTGTTGTTTGTTTTTGTTTTGGAAACAGGGCCTTGCTATGGAGCTCAGGCTGGCCTTGAACTCACTATGTAATCCAGGGTAGCCTCGAACCAGTGGCGATCCTGCTGCCTCCGCCACCAGAGTGCTGGGGCTACAGGCATGCACCACCATGCCCAGCTGAACCCTCAGTCTTGCTTTCTCTTTTTCTCACTGATATCTGCTCGTCAAGTCATGTTACTTCTCCTCCAGTTTCTTGAATCATCTTCTCTTCATCCCCGTCACTACTGGCCTGACCTAAAGCACCACCATCGCTCTAACTCCCCCCTGGCTTGGCCACTCCACTCCTCTCTTCCTAGAATCATTTTGGGGCATAGAGCTATAACAAGCTCTCCGAAATGTGAATGATGCCATCGCCTTGGGCCCGGCCCTATCCTGGCTTCATATGGTCCTCAGGGAAAAGTTCAAACTCCTTTCCATGGTTTTTAATGCCTGATAGAGTCTTTCCCCTGCCTTCGCACCCATTCTTTTTTCTTCCGTCTTTGAATCATTCAATAACACGCATGAGGCGCCATTTCTGTGCCTTTCATTCCCCGTGTCACATAACTGCTAGTAGCCCCTGCCCAGCCCAAGGCTCTCCCCGACCCGGCCTTGTCCTGTGCGTCCCACTGTTTGCCTGCAATGCCCACCCCTTCTTCATCATTTGTCTTTAATGGGGCAGCTCAAATTCAGTAGAAAAATGGACAAAGGTCAAAATTGGGCAGTTCACAGAGAAAAAATACTAATTGCTGATGAACATACAGAAAGATATTCAACCTCATTCATATCTAAGGAAGTTCAAAGTAAGGATTTGATTCATTTTTATCACTTCCAGTTCTTGCTTTCCCTCCCGTGCTTTGTCAGCCCCTGAAACTACTTTTGTCAGCATCACAATTTGGCGACGCCTTTATTGGCCTGAACATTTATTATCTACTGTGAGCAGAGACTGCCACCAACCAAGTGGGGGACTTCTAGCAAGAATAAGAAATAGACATTTGCTTATTTAAGCCACTTAAGTTTCGGGGTTAATGTGTTACCACAGTATACCTAGACTATTCTGGTTAACACACCCTAAATACATCTACTTACAAAGGAAGGAGAGAAGACTCAGAGAGGATAAATAACTTGCTATGGACTGTACAGACTTGAACACAAGGAGTCTGAGACCAGACTGCATTTTCAACATCCACATTACACTGTCCCTCGGATATATACATATATATACTGTACACATGTCCATGTCCATGTGTATATGTGCCTGTATGCATCTGTACTAAATCTACATCACTTCTAGCTATATGTGCAAAAATTAAAACATTAACAGTTGTTATCTCTGAGGAGTGAGATTGGGAATTGGACTGAGGAAGGAGAGATGCCAGGCCTTCATGGGGCCTGGCCCACAATGGCCTTCAAAAAATGATTGTTTTTTTCCGCAGTGCAGTGTCAGATCTTAGGCTCTGGGGACTCTGCTGTCATGTGGGAACAGGGCTTCAGTGACAGGAAGGGGAAAGGGTGGTAACAGGCCAAATCTGGGGATAGTACGAAAGCTCAAAAAAGATAGTACAAGGCTGAGCGTGTGGCTCAGTTGTAGGGCTCCAGCCTACCTACTATGCAGAATACCCTGGGTTGATTTCCAGCACTGCAAGAAAAGAAAGAAAAGACAATACAGTGTGGGTATGCTCAACCTGAAAATCCCAAATTCAAAATGTTCCAAAATCTTGAACTTTTTTAGCCCTGACATGACACTACAAGTAGAAAATTCCACGCCTGACTTCATGAGACGGTCCCAATCAAAATAAAGGTGCGCTAGAAATATTGCATAAAACTATCTCCAGACTGTGTGTACAAGGTGTAGATGAAACATAAATGAATTTCACCTTCAGACTCGGGTCCCACCCCCAAGATATCTCATTATGTCTGTGTAAATATTCCAACCTTCTCCCTATTTTAAAATCCGAAGCATTTCTGTTCTAAGCATTTCAAGTAAGGGTTGTGTAACCTACAGAGCAGAACCCAGTATCCTTAAGCTTCTGCGTCAGAGCAGCAAAAACTGGATGCAGGTGGCACAAGGCTGTTGACTCAAATTTCTAAGACCCCTGGAACTAATCCCAACAGAATCTTGTTAACCGAGTGGAAGAAGCTCCAACCCAAACAGGGAAACTGCTCTTCCTCCATTTTCTTCCTGGCACACTCACCTCCAATTTTTTGAGACCCAGCAGCTGGAGGGATGACAGTAAGGATGGCTTCCCCTCCAACCAAATAGGGAACTCAGCTTTTACTGAGGAGAGTGCTTACCTGGGTCGCAGAGCAGTGGGGAAGAACACAGGACAGCTGAGTCCCCTGCCTTCAGTATGAGGCCATTCTTTTTTTTTTTTTTTTTTTTTTGGTTTTTCTCCGGTACCGGGAACCGAACTCACGACCTTGCGCTTGCCAGGCAGGCGCTTTTGCCGCTGAGCTAAATCCCCAGCCCTCAGTATGAGGCCATTCTGAGCTAGTCTTTTCCACCTTGCATTCGGGACCTTTGACATAACCAAAAGGCCTGGCTTCCACTTACTCCAGTTTCCACATCCAGCCTCCCAAGCAGCAGTGAGAAGGCAAACACGAGGGACAAGAAAAGAGCTCATAGGCTGCTCTCAGGCTCGTGAGCTCCACTCCCAGCCCAGCTCCTCCATCCTAGCCCTGTAATCTTGGGAAGACCATTTCTATTCCATGGACTTCAGCTCCCTCGTCTGCACAATGCTGATTATTAGCCATAATAAGGTGTTTAGAACAGCACCTGGCATGAACAAAGGGAATAAATAATGTTAGCTAATTCTAGTGAGTGTTAGCTATCATTATGTGTGCGTAGCCATTAGCATGAATTATTATGCACAAAATAGCTTCTACCCCATAAGATTGGCATAAGCTAAAAGGAAATAATGGATGTGAAAATATGCGGTGCCAAGGTCTTCTTGGTCTCTTCCAGTTTTGCCATCATTCCTAGGTTAATTAATACTGTTCTCTTTTCAGAATTAGAGGGTACTGGTACCCACCCAAAGCTCCCCGTTCCCTGGCCTTTAGCCTGGTGAGCTGAGGTAAAGAATGGCCACCTCCGTCTTCACTGGCGTGCTTCTGAGCCAGCTCCAAGTTCAGGGGCCTGTCTACAGTCTCTATTCCCAGGTAGCTTACAAGGTCCCTTAATTCCATGCCTTGACTCAGCCAGTACTCACAGGAAGCACTGGACCGGCAAGATTTTTTTCTAGGCCCCCTCCCACAGTGATGGCTTCTTTCGGCATCTAGAACACAATAACCAGCGATGTAAATCACTTTCACAAAGTTTGTGGTGTAAGTGTCGGGGAAATGGATGGAGGGTTGAATTCCTCGGGCTGACGGGTTTCCAGGGCCCCACTATGCCATCAGGTCAAGTCTCTCCCGCCAGTGGTTTGCTTGAATCCCTGTGGCTGTAGCCAAGCCCTTGTCCTTGGCCAGCCTCAGTGGAAACTGCTCCCCATCATCCCAAAACATGCCTTCTACACCCCAGCGTAGACCTTACCTGCCTGCCACAGGCACATGCACACACATGTGGATGCACACGCCTTTTGCACGGGCACATACCCATACGAACGCACACATGCTCACACAATCACTCACAAATACCATGCCCCGGTGGGTCAGACCACAGGCCAGGGCGACCAATTGTTCTGGCTTGCCTGGGACAACCCCACGTTCAGCACTGAAATTCTTCAATCCCAAGCAAGCCAGGATGGTTGGTCACCCTTTACCAAAGCCTGAAGACTCACTGATAGCGAAGACACTGAGGGCCCACTGGAAAACAGCAAAGACCTCCAGCGCCGTCTTGAGATCCTTTCTGGAGGGCAAGAACATTATTCCAGGATTCCAGCGGCTCCACGTAAGTGCTGTTCGGCTGGCCAGCCCTGACTGCTCAGGAGCCTTGGGTGATTGCTCTTTTCATGCTTTCTTCTCCCGCAGCTGCCCAGTCTCTACCCTCACCCTGTCACACCCCTCCACAGAATTGCAACACCATGTACCGCCTCTGCTTTTCCCTTTCCTTCCAACTGCCTACCTACCTACCTGTACCTGAACTTGGCCTGGGCTGAGATTGTGACACTCCCTTGCACACCTGGATGAAGCCCCAGAGAGAGAAGTAAGTGGGTGGGAGTGGGGCTCTTGAGAGGCCTCTGAGGTCATTCTGGAATGAGGGACTGATGGGCCAGAAGGAGCCCAAGGTTCAGATAGCACGCAGGGCCTGCACCTCTGGTTTTGTTTCTGTGTTCTCTCAATGACTGGAGGGCTGAAGAGAGTGACTGGGGCCACAGCCCAGGCCTTTGGCCTTTTGATCAGTCTGGGAAATATTATTCACGGCGAAGAGAAAGCACATGTATCTCTGTGATGTCTTCTGGCTGTTCGTGGTAGTTCATAGTAGATATGGACTGAACACATTTTACTTGTGAAAAGTATTGACAAATTTTAGCATATATTATATTATTCTGTGTGCATGAGATTGTAGGCTGGCATCTGCACACATGTGTCTGCGTGTGATGAAGATGTAGGAGTGTGAAGGCATCTAGATCCAGCCAGCCATGTGCTGCGGGCCAAGAACACAGAAGAGGGAAAGACTGGAAGGATTTCTTAAGACAACATATAATTATTGAGGACACGGTTTATACCAGACATTGTTCTAGACAACTGGGTTACGGCACTGAAGAAAATAAACCAAAACAAATTTATGCTTTTGAGAAGTTTACATTCTGGTGAGGGAAGACAGGTGATAGAAACTAATTACCTAGTTATATGATACAATACAAGGTGATAAATGTTATGAGGGAAAAATGTTGGAACAAAGTAGAAAGGATCCGGAGTGCTGAACGGTGGAAGGTGTTAGGTAGGCACAACAGGCCTTACAGTTTCCAAAGGAGTGGTCAAGGAAGGGCACACCGAGAAGGCAGCATTTGCGCACAGGCTCGAGGAGGTGAGGAAGGAAGCCATGTGGCAGTCTGAACTGAGAATATTCCCGGCAGAGGGGACCGTCATTGCACAGCCCCGGAGGAAGGTACACTGGCAGGTTTCAAGGACTAGCACGAAGACTTGATCTAAGTAAGAGGGACCAAGTAGATGAAGTGAGAGCATTGGCAGAGTGCTACTTCATAGATGGCTTTGTAGGCCAAGGTGTAAACTTAGCTTTTTACTATGGCCAAAGTGGAGGGCCTTTACAGGGTCCTAAGGAGAGAAGAGATAGGATGAGCTTATGTTTTCAAGGAGTCAGGAAAGAAAGGGAAGACCTTTGAGAGCTATGGCAATAATCCTACGCAGGAGATGGCAATGGTGACCTGGGCGAGGTGGGTGGTAGTGGAGACACAGGGGAGTGTTCAGATTCTAGATGTATGTAATCTGCAGTTCTCCTCTGAAACAGAGGCCCCACTTGGACCACTTCCTCTCTGAGGCTCAGATGCCTCCAGAGGGGACTCCCATTGCTGAGTACCCACCCCGGGCCCTTGCCCTGGCCAGGGCACCTTCCTTGCATCCAGCTTTGCGCCCTCAAGAGAGGTATGTGGAGGATGTTGGGTGCAGCTCACCTGCTTAGGTTGAGTGGTGGCTCTATAAAGGGGCTGGGGAAAGTGAGGCTGCAAAAGGCAGCTGGGTCACTAAGAGTACGGACTCCAGAATGAGGAGTCTGCCCTTAGTCCTGCGTGCACTGAGGAGCTGAGATCAGCTTCTGGGCAGGAATGATGATTTGTGCCAAATGCCAAATGAAGACAACTTTTGGACACAGAATGTCTACCAGGACCTAGGTGCTCTTGTGACTGATACACAATTCATCCTTTTCCTCTCCGGTACACCAACTTGCAGGACCAGGTCCACTTCCACGCAGAATATGTGGTTCATGGTCTAAGTCCGTATGATGGCTCCTGGGTACTTTAGCCAGCTCAGAAAGGCCTTTTGGCCCAGACCTCTCCCCATCTGACTGATTTTATTGCTTGGGTTAGGGGTAGTTCATCTCTTACTAGAAAGCAGGTTCCTGTTGAGAAAATTTTCTGAAAATGTCCCCTGTTGAGGCAACAAAGTTCCACCTCCATAATCACTGAGCACAGGCCAAGGGTTGAGAGGGCTCTGGGAATATGGAAAAGAGTCCAACCTGGGGAGGTGCAGGCAGAAGGAGAAGAGTCACAGGAGCAGGCCAATCTGACTGGCCCCTAGGGAGAAACATAGGAGGAGGAGGAGGAGGAGGAGGACTTCTTGCAGGGCCAGTGAGGCAAATGATGGGTTTCGTTTGGACCTCCATTTGTGAGAGGGACCTGGAGGTCAAAAAGGCCCTGTGGGGATTAGAAAAGTTAGCTACTGGTTTCTGATGTATACTGTACTTACCCCGAGCTCCCAGAGACTTGCTACAGGGGCAAATGCAGCAGGGCCGTGAGGAGGAAGCTGACCAGCATTTGCACCCTGGTTTGGAAACTCTCTGAGTTGTTCTGTCTTACTGTTCTCACAGCCCAGACTCTGAGTCTTGATTTCCTCACTTGGAAGTAGGAGATAATGAATAGTAACAGATGGCCTGTCACTTTTGAACTGTGAAATGCTATCTAAATATAGGTCATGGCTATCACTGTTATTAGGAGAAGAGGGAAGGCTACAGATGGATACTGAGGAAAGGACTAGAGTTAAACTGAAGCTGCCCTGCGTGGCCTTCCTTCTGAGCTGTGTTACCTTGGAGAAAGGGTGTCAGACATTGAAGAGCAGAATCACTGACAGTGTGAGCATTTGGAATATTCTAGAAGCTCTGCCTTTTCATCCACACAGAGAAAGTCGTACGCCCAGCACTGACTTGCATCCGACCATTCTGATACCAAACAAGAAATGGTCAAGGGTTTTTGGGAGCTTCCATTCCTCACTCTTATCCCTCTCCGTCATCTGCCCCCTTCATCCTCACAGAATCCCTAGAAAATATGAGGCTCAGAGATTATCAGAGCTGAAAGGGCTCTCAGAATTTTCTAAGCTACCCAGGAGTGGCCTTCATTGAGCCCCATAAGCAAAATCATTCTTCCTGCTTTTGGACTCAGGCACAACTGCCCTCCCTGCCATTCTACTCTAGGTCCTTAAAAACAGACAGAAAATAAAGCCTCTTTTCGTCTGGAACCTTCATCTTCCAGTAATTTGTCAAAATGACAAACACAAAGGGAAAGAGGAGAGGAACCTGGTGTATGTTCTCTAGGCCTTTTAGAAAACATGGGGTTGCTCCTTTGGCCACATACATGTGCATCTACAAAAAGGGTGATATTGTAGACATCAAGGGAATGGGAACTGTTCAAAAAGGAACCCCACACAAGTGTTACCATGACAAAACTGCAAGAGTCTACAGTGTTACCCAGCATGCCGTTGGCAATTGTTGTAAACAAGCAAGTTAAGGGCAAGATACTTGCCAAGAAGATTTTTGTTTGTATTGAGCACAATCAACACTCAAAGAGTCGAGCTAGCTTCCAGAAACATGTCAAAGAAAATGACCAGAAAAAGAAAGAAACCGAAGAGAAAGGTACCTGGATTCAGCTGAAGCGCCAGCCTGCCCCACTTTGTGAGAACCAATGGGAAGGAGCCGGAGTTGTCGGAACCTGTTCCCTATGAATTCATGGCATAAACTGGGGATGGCGCTCTGCCGTTCAGCACCTAATTAGCAGCTAAGTGTCCTAGGCCCTACTGAAAAATAAAAGATCGTCCTGTGTTGTAAGGATGGTTTTCTTCATTGAACAGGTGTATGGGGCCCTTACCTCAGAGACAAATATTTGGAGCAGATTTTCATGGTGTACCCAGTTAACTGTGTCAGGTCTTTGTTCTTCAGTGTCAGGTCTTCACTGTCAGTGTCAGGTGTTTATTCCTTCTGGCTAAAAGATGTTGCTGAGGTATCATGTAGGTGTATACCCAAATGGCCAAATATTTATGAAACATTTACATTGGCTTGAAGGCCCTATAAATCACCAATGGGGAAAAGATGTATCAAAATAAATGGAAGTCACTGTATGGCATTTCAGGTAAATAAATTATTTAAAACACACTAAAAAAATAAAACCTGTCTTCCTTTACATAGCAGTTTTCATTCCACCTAGGTAACATTACAGATAAAATATAGGAGGCCAGTTAATTTTGAATTTCAGATAAACAATGAATAATGTGTTAGTGTAAGTATGTCCCATATAATATTTGGGACATATTTACTCTACATATTACTGCGTTCTCAAAATTTCACATGGGACATACTACGTTAAAACATGGGCTGTTGATCATCTGAAATTCACATTTAACAGAGTCCTATACCTTCCCTGGGTCACATGATCAAAGCAGTTGGCACACTGTGGAAGGCACAGGGATCCCTTGTCCATCACACAGAGAGAGCAGGCCCTACTCAGTGGCTCACCTATGTGTCACCCCTCAATTCTCAGCTGCCCCGGAGATCGGGCTAAACCCCATCCCTTGCACTCAATGGTTTACTCATATTCTCCCACCAGAGTCTTCACTATCCTGGGGGATTTTCCTGCATGCCTGCTTCTTATTCCCATTCCATCCATCTCTTCTGGATGGAAGAGGCCTGCTGGGCGGGGTTTTTAGGTATCCTGGTGCTCATGGGCTGGTTTTCTCTTTCTCTTATTTGGCAAACTAGGAATGGCCAGGTGGTGGAGGCCTAAGACACAAAGAAGATGTGGGGGAGCAAAGGGGCGCCAAGCCTAACCCAGCTCAAAGGCACCAGACTAGGTCTCTAGTGGCTTGGGAGAACTGGAGATGGCTCCTGTCCTCCACTCTGGTGGGCAATGTGTACCTTTCCTGTTTCCCAAGGGCTGCCAGGACTTGGGGCCCTCATGTGGCCTTTTCTCCCCAGACTCACTCTCATTTCTAACTCTCACTCTCACTCTTGTTCCGTTGGTGACTGTAGTGAGTCTCAAACTGTCCCAGGTGTGTTCGAGGGATCCCTTAGCAGACGTGGAGGAGGGGCAGGAGTAGCTGCTCTGAGTGTGTAGACTATC